ATAAGAGAGATGGTAAGTTTTAAGCTTGGTAAAGAAATAGAGAAATAAATATAAACTTTTGTACTAGATAATTGGGACCAGAGAAGCAAGTCCAGATAATTGACAAAATCTTGATAATCGAGGTCAGGATAATCTAGGTTGAAGATAATCTGTTAAATGTTGTAATTAACTTGGTGGGGTGCAAAGATGATGTAAAACTTGATAGCACCAAACTCTATGATATAACTCTTCTCTTATTGCTCTCTGTGGTGATCTAGGTGTTTGAAGATGTTGTTGAGATTCTAGATCCAGAGATGAACATTGACAGTGAAACTGGAGATGAAGAGATGCAGGTAAAGATACAGTTTTCACATTAATCTCTTTCATAACTTTATAACAACTTAAAATTATTATTCTTACAAAACCAAAAACTCAGAAAGACTGTCAAGATTCATATGTTTCCTTTTTGCAGGAAAGTGATGAGGATTCTGAGGAAGCCAAAGGAGCTGGAGATCAAGATGAACTGCAGGTAAAAAGTTACATGAAAAATGCAGGCTAAAATTTTCTTTGGCGAACATTTTGAAAAATGACAGATTAGATCTAAACTGGGAATTAGGTTCTTAACACTGTTCAGTCAGTTGGTTGCATCTGACTGAGTAGTATTCTGAATCTACTCCCCACCTCACAAAAATGTCCAGACTAAATGTTAAAAATAGTGGCCCTGAGTGAAGTCTGCTTCTCAAAGGAAGGCAGCCTCCAAGACCTTCTTCTAGTCAGGGAAACCTGAAATATAAAGACACTACTACTACTATTATTACACATCTCCTGAATTTGCGTTGACTGTAATACCTAATAGATCATTTGCATTTTAAAAAATATTTGGGAGAAGGAAGTGCTGAAACATGGAGGGCAGTCATAAAATAAGTCTTTTTAATTTTCATGTTTAGGATTTCTTTTTCTTTTTCAGTCTTTAAAGAGTGGAGGGTCAGGGAAAGTAAGGTGAGGCTTTTGTACAGCAACACAGTTTCTTCTAATATTATATTCATTGCAATTTTTTAATTGATATCTTGACATAAGTTTATTTGTTTATTTTATGTTACTGAAAAAAATAAATTGTTTGATATATTAACAGCAACTCTGAGTCTGAGAAAGATCAGTCCAAACTCACATACAAATGGCTCCCTAAACAAGAAGATGTACAAAAAGAAGAGAGCAAAAGAGCTAGTAGGCGCAAGGCAGAGTCTCCAACATCGGTAAATCTTTTGATATTCAAAAACTGCTTTGCTGGTTAAGTCATGACATTTTTTAGTGCAGTTTTCACCTAACAGACCAGGAAAAAAAACAAAAAAAAAGTAATCACAACATCAAATCAGACCAAAAGTTAACATCATTATCAGCCAATGAGATCTCAAAGTTAACACAGGCAATCTGTTTTAAGTGCAAGAAAATGCAAGTGACTATGTTGGGTTGCATGGTTTCAGTTTTGCATTTGGTTGGTTGAAGTTTCCTGATCAAACCACAGACCAAAGTAAAGCGAAACCAAAGCAATTATCCAGGATCACTTTTTAAACTCACTGCTCTCTGAATCAATGAAATAAGTGCATATAGGACTGCAGTATATGAGAGGACTCAAGACTGCATGTACTTTCTTTTTCAGGATGCAAGGATACAAGAAGTAACCAAGGAATTTTGTGAATGGGTGGCTGGCTTAGTGAGTTTTATTTTAATAAGTAATTTAAAAAACTATGAACTGAAGGTAATTTAGATATTCTGGACTTTGAACACCTCAATTTCTATCTTTTTCATAATTTTTAAGGGTGGTCAAAGCAACAATATAGAAGAGTCAACAGTGATGAGTTTATTTGCCAGTGGATATGAAACAAAGGTTAGTGTCCAATTCAATCCTTCCTAGCAAGAGTCAGTGATATGATAAACGATGTTTTCCAGTCACAATACTTTTCAACTTTAAATCTAATTAAGCCAGTGTAGACCAGGGTTTATTTTATTCAGAACAGAATTTTTTTTCCTATTAAATTCTCATCAAACCATTTGTCAAATGGCTGTTATCTTGTTTGCAGCCAGCACTGTCAGTGCCTATCCATGTTGTTGAACTGACAAATGTTCCACCTGAGTTAAGAATGAACACTGGATCTCCATTACCAAAGCCAAGTGAAACAAGACAAGTGCCAGAAACTGAAAAGGAAAAGGTAAAGTGCAAGTCCGCTCAAGCCAATTGTGGCAGAAAATGTAATGAAAGAGATGTATGTGTTCCTTCTGTGGAACTAAAAAACTTTTCCCTTCCTTCAATTTTTTTTATCCTTTCCTTAATTGTGTATTAAGTATTCCAGTTTTCCTAGTTGTGATTGATTTATTAGTACAGCTGGTGATATTTAAAATTCAAATCAAAGTGTTCATGATTTTTCTAAGCTTCACATTGAGTGTTAAAACACACGAACTTCTTATATGAAAGTTTTTGAAAGGAAGAATATCATTGATGAGGTGCTGCGTGAAATTTGTTTATAGGCCAAAACCAAGTACACTCCAAGCTGGGTGAAGGTTAAATATGGAGCATGGTACCTGAGCCCCTCAACATGGAAAGCTCGTGCCAGTGGCGAACCATTACAAGATCCAAAAGCACAGCAGGACAAAACACTGTCTGAGTCCAAGAAGAAAAGCCAGAAGTTGGTAAGACTGTGGCATCAACTATAAACACCAACACAACAAAACAACATTAACTCTCTATATTGCTTCACCCAATCTTCTTCCTTTTGACAATTGCTTACCCCCTTGGTACAAGTTTCCTTCTCTCCCCACCCTTCCACTGCTAGGTCATTCTCCTTCATTACTTCATCAGTAGAAGTATGTGAAAGAGGTACACTGGGAAAGAGGTTGCACCTACACAAGTGTGTTAAATGAACTTCTATCTAACTCCACAGGATAATGTGCTTTCCACCATGCATGGAGCTAAAGCATTCAAAGATTTTATAGACAAAAAGAACACTAGAGTACCCGAATTTCTTGAAGTGGTAGCTGAACACCAAGAACCCAACAAAACTGACTCAGAGGAAACAACACAAGATGGTAGAAAGAAATCACGTGCTGTTAGCATTGCCAAATCACAATTTGGTTCAAATGAATATGTATATTGAGTGGGTAGGTATTTTAATAATGTCAGAGGACCTAGTAGATCTGAATTTACAAGTTGGAAGTAAGGTCAACATAAGTGCAATCATACAAGTCTGTACAGTTTCTCTTTAAAATCAATTTATTCTTTTCAAGAAACACCTCAAATGGAACAAATGTAAATACATTATCTTTGTAAATACTTTATAAAGTACACTATTTATTTGATATTAAAAATAATACTATGTACTTTTTTGTAATAAAGTGTTCAAAAATTGTTCCAAGAAAGAATAGTTTACCTGAATTATTATTATTTTTATCTTATTTAAAATCTCAGGCTTATGATATAGTACACCATCCAAGTGTACCTGTTAAATTTAATTAGACCATGGCAATAAGAAGGAGTCCAGCCATCAATGCTACTACCCCCAGAACATGACAACAGTAAACTAGTGATGCTGGAATCATGATTGTTCAATTATTTCTTCCTTTTGCTTCCTTGGACGCTGTTTCTTCCCTCGCTGTTTCCTCTCAAACCACTCCAGTTCCTCCTGGGTTAATAATAAGATGGTAAATTATAGTTATTGTGGGAGACACAATGTCTAATGGTAACTGTACTGGTTATCAGGTCAAGAAGTCAGGGTTCCAAACCTGGTGGGGTTACTGTGTTGTGTTCTTGGGCAAAGTACTTTTCTCTCATAGTGCCTCTATCCACTCTGGAGTAAAAACTGGTACCAGCAAATTGTCAGGGGAGCCTGATGAAATGCTGTGGGGTGTGTGTGTGTTTGTGTAAGTGGGGGGTACCTTGAAATGGACTGGCATCCCATTCAGGGAGGGAGTGGTACTGCTCCTTCCATCCTAGCTGCTTCATGCTATTGAACCTGTATAAGATCTGGCATGATGGATTGCTTGGATCAAGTGCAGACTTCACCTTTACCTACCATATAGTTATCCTGGGGTTCAGGCTCGCTTAGATTGCCATGTCATCACTACACAGTTTCTGTTCCCATGAAACCAGCTTGAACCAAGGAAGACACATTGTTGAAAATATCAGAGTACAAGTTTACCTGCTGATTATCAACCACATCAGTGACAACATAACATTCTAGTTGACAACAGTGGTTTCCACAAAGAAGTTGACAGCCATAAGGTCGAGCAAATAAATATGGCTTTGCAGAAGAACAAGCAAGAGAGTTGATCTGGGTGGGAAAAATTAAGACAGGTTAAATAAATGATACAGAAACTAAATGATACAGAAACTTTTAAGAAGTTTATTACAAGTCAAAGGAAAGAAATGTGACAGGGACAATTAAGTGGAGGCTGTGAAAATACGAGCTGTATAATTCAGACATTGCTTAATTCATTAATTTTAAGGACACCAAAACATCAAAATGGAAATGTAAGAAAACACACCTCATGCTTGCCAAAGCAGCTCCTAAAAATGGTTACAACAATAAATATAAACTTAAGTTGATTAAGTCATAATAACAAAGAAAAACATACTGACAAAATTTCAAATTATCACTTGATTATAGCCTACACAGTAGTCCTTTCATTTGCTTTAAGCCATGCAGAAGAACTGAGGATGACTGTAAGAGATACAATTTTTCTGCTACAATAAAGTGAGAAATATTTCATCCCAATGTTAAATCACAATTCAAAGAGAGAAATAGTGAGAAATCGTAGCAGTTTGAAGATGTCTCTGGTGACTAGAAACATATGGGAATTTAAGGACACACTTTCCTAAGGTCACACAATGACAGGCAGTGTATGTAATTGACTATTAATAATATGTTTTGACTAAAAGTAGGTAGTCCTCTGATCCTGGTACCAACCATCAAAACATGCAAATACATTTGGGTTTCCATTTAACTCAGATTTTTATATTTTCATCAATGGAAAAAATCTGACAAAATCAATTTGACAAAATCTGACAAACATTGATGAAAACAACAACCTCAGAAAGAAGTTATCAGAAAGTGCACATATCAAGAGCAGCATCCTAACTTGCAAAGTTCAGCATATTTAGACTGGTGGTCAGTCACCCACAATGTGAGGAGGAAAAACTTGTAACAGCGAGTTACAACAGGTTTGTAGTCAATTGAAATCAATTCCATAACTTCACAGCTCCAAATTTATGGAATAAAGAAGAGAACATGCTATGTACTTGGCTAACAAACTGTTTTCTTACCAGCATGGCATGGAGACTCACAGCTGTGCTGGCCACAAGAAAGTAACTTTCCACAAGGCTTTCCACACAACCAAGATTTAGCACTGCAGCGTCTAACCACTGGTGCCTGAGATCCACAGTGACAGGATGTAAAGACAGTCTTTGGACAAGGAGGACACGGACCTGTATATGCAACATGGAATAGCACTTTGAATGAAGTGACCAATTTCCAACTTCTTGACACCATTTTAAAGCATTATACAAAGAGCACATGAGGAGAAATGACAAACTTATCAGCTGGAGGGTGTCATAATTGACATAACACTAAATTCTCATTTATTTTTCCTTAAAAATCTGAGGATGTCCTCCCTTCACTTCACACTTTTCTACAACTACTTAAAAGCTGATCAATGCTTCAGCATTGCCTTTCTTGAATTGGCCATGGTAAATATATATTAATTAATAATAACCACAAATTATGTCCTAGACAGTAATTAATATGTTATAAGTTCCAGTAATCGCTATTTTGATATAAATATGCAAGGTAATCCTTGAATTGTAGCTGTACAGTCTTGTTATTTTTTTTTTGAATTATAATCTACCCATAAATAAAGCATTCTTCTAATTGAAAAGAGTACTTATTTAAAGGAGCCACACTGTATGGCAAAAAATTGTCTCTATCCTCTCTGCCTGATGGAGGCCATTAGTGTGGCATTTGATGGAGAAAATACAGAACTCAACCTCAAAAAACTTGACAGAATGTGGAATAAACAGAGGAAAAACTCTTGTCAAATTCAAGAATGTTCTAATTTAATCATAGCTATACCATACCTGCTTTTCACAAAAGCAATAATATTTTGCGGGACATTCAGACTGCTTGAATTCACCTGTGCATTTGGGGCTAAATTATTGAAACAAAACCAGCTGGTTATTAATTAATAATTTAAAAAGATAAAAAGACCTGAAAAAAATAAATGTGACAAAATGGAACCAACTTATTTTTCAGGCCTCAGAGTAAAAGTTCAGAAGTCCATTATTGTAAGCAAATCCGTTATACATACCAAAACTACGGCAACTCAGCGGGATTTAAAGTATCATCTGAGGTCAATTGAATATAAGCAGCTCGGTCCATTCCTTGCCCCCTTTTGAATGCATTGCAGGGGAGGAGTTGAGCAACACCGGCTGCAGCTCCATACCTTAAATTAAAAAATATATATATATCAAAGGAGGAAGTTCTTAAGTATTTCTGAAGGATTAAAAAACAAATATTACGTTTTTGCACATAAAAGAACCTCCCATTTGCTCATTTTTTCCAGTTGAACTGCATGTACATGATTCAGCAACGAAGGAGTTATGAGTAGCAGCTCATAACTGACTCTATGTTATCAGCAACATTTGTCCTGTCGAATTTTCCATGGAAAAAATTGGCTTCAGATCCTTTTGAATAATTCTCATTTGATCGGAATGATCCAAAGGATTCTGGTGACTTGTAACCAAATTAAACGACAGAAAATATGGTGTTGAGACCTGCATAAATTTATCGATCAAGGGATCTGTATAGGTTTCCTAAATTCCATCTTTAAAGGTTTTAGGAGTTTAAAAACCTCGCCTAGTTACAAAACCATTTCGATGTCTAGCACAATATCCCAGATATTTGTGTTACCGTTTTTTGAAGTTCCGAGCTTCTCGTTTAAAATAAACCGAAATGCACAGATAGCGTATTCTCGAACTGACTCCTTAAAATATTTAACTTGGTCAATCTCTAATAAGATATCACAAAAGAGTTAATATACAAATGAGTTAACATATAAATGGAAAAATATATTAAAGGTATTGTCCAGTACATGTAAGAGGGAGACGAGGCCAATAGAGTCAAATGCTTTCCTCGCAATCTTTCCTCCTTGTCCTCTATCATGAATTTCATTGAAAGTAAAACCCTGAGCACGAGTCGTGCTCATTGGGCACTCGACCCAGTCTGTCTACGTGTTCGGGCCACGTGAAACCATGAAAATATAAACACTTGGAAAATAATTTCAGGCGAGGCAGTATATTAAACCCGTCTCTTCATCTCCAGCTATTCAGCTTGTCTCGCTGTCATACAACAGTCTTCGGATGCT